AAGCTTAGTGATCACTCTGGCTGTGAACTGCATCTCCAAGGAGGAATGCACGTCTTGGGACAGCCAAGGTGACACAGTAAGCTGGGGCGGGGCAGGAGAACTGGGACCAGACCCGGGGGTCTGCTCTCCCAAGCCCATGCTCTCCAGCTGTGGCTCTGCAGAAATATATGTGTTTTTGTTTTTATTGAGTTGAATGTCTGAATGAACTCCAATTCATTTGCAAAAAATGCCAAGAAAAATGTTGAGTTTTTTTTTTAAATATCCAGAATTAAAAATGTGTGTTGCAGAGAATAACACCCTTTTAAGAACATATTATTAAACAAGATCACGGGAAGGCCTTTAAGGTATTAATGAGTGAAGTTCACAGGAAGCAAACCATCACATATGATATAGTTACATTTTACATTTTATGTCTTTGGAACTCAGCTATAATTGAAGCCACTGATTGCACTTATAAGTAAATATTCTTTCTGACATTGCCCTCAGTGTGTTTTCTGAGATAGGTGTATTTGTTACACTCTACTGTTTTTATTGATTGTATTGAAGATTCTATTATAATAAAATTTAGTATTCAAATTTCTGTATATAAAATGAAAGTTTAGTATTTGTTATATAATTATAATGAAACCAAACAAAACAAACCAACACTGAAAGGACAGGAATCCACAATTTTACTTTCTTATTGTTCTAGCCTGTTAGGAAATCTGTTGTTTATAAATTGTGGTTTCTGAAATAATCCTCCTCTTTTTGCTACCACTCTGAAGTCAGTGTTAATCTTTTAGCATCAGCTGTCATCCTTCCCATCAAAGTCACCGCTGGTAGTTATAAGGCAATTTCAGTTCTACCCATTAGCCAAGAAAAGAGACACTTATTCATTAAATACTTAGAAATTCTCAGAAAAAGACAGAAATGGGTAGCATTGAGAGTGGGTGGGTATTGGAATCTGTGCTATGAGTAAAGAAATTTGAAGTTAGAAGCATGTGTTAGAGAAATCTATGGAGGATAATGAAAAACATTAAAAATAGAACTACCAATGGAAGCAATCCCACTTCTGGGTATTTATCCAAAATCATCGAAATCAAGACCTCAGCGAGATATTTGCTTTCCTATGTTCATTGCATCAGTACTCACAATAGCCAAGGTATAGAAATAACCTAAATGTCCATTGCTGAAAGAGTGGAAAGAAGCCAGGTGTGGTGGCTCATGCCTGTCATTCCGGAACTTTAGGAGGTCAAGGTGGGTGAATCACCTGAGGTGAGGAGTTCGAGACTAGCCTGGCCAACATGGTAAAACCTCATCTCTACTAAAAATACAAAAATTAGCTGGATGTGGTGGTGTGCACTTGTAGTTCCAGCTACTCAGGAGGCTGAGGCAGGAGAATTGCTTGAAGCCAGGAGGCAGAGGTTTCAGTGAGTCAAGATCGTACCACTACACTCCAGCCTGGGTGACAGAGTGAGCCTCTGTCTCTCTCCCTCTCTCTCTCCCTCTCTCTCCCTCTCTCTCCCTCTCCTTCTCTCTCTCTCTCTCATACACACACACACACACACACACACACACACACACAAAGATTGGTAAAAGAAAATGCGGTATATGCATACAATAGAATATTATTCAACCTGAACAAAAAAGGAAACCATGAAATATGCAGCAGAATGGATGAACCTGGATGACACTGTGTTTAGTGAAATAAGCCAGTTACAGAAGGACGAATGTGGCATGAGGCATCTAAAACAGTCATACTCACAGAAGCGAGAGTAGAAAGGTGGTTGCCAGGGGTTGGGAGTGGGGGGAAATGGATGAATTGCTATTCAACGGGCATAAAGTTGCAGTTAGGTAAGATGAGTAAGTTGTATAGATCTGCTGTACAACACTGTACCTGTAGATAACAGTACTGTATTGCACACTTAGACATCTATTAAGTGGGCAGATCTCATGTTAAGTGTTCTTACCATAATTTTTTTAAAAGGAGTGCTATGGAGGACCCAAAATACATCAGGCACTGCTTGTCTGTAAGCCACTGGAGAATGCCATTGGCCTGTTTTCTGTCTTTAATCCCAGCAGTAATCCCTCTATTGTAGATGTCATTTACAAGGAAAAATGTGAACCCTAGAGAGATTAAGTATTTTGCCCCAAATTATGCAACTGGAAGTATTAGACTTCATATATGAGCTAATGATGAGGTCATCTTTGGGTGTGAAGGGTAGTGAGATCCTCCATCCTTGGGGAATGGTTAACCATCTACATCTTCTGTCCCATCTTCCAAAGCCAGAAAGAAGCCACGGGTTAGGGATTCTCCGGTCAAAGCCTGACTCCACTGAAAAAGAAGAAGATTCAGATCAGTCTATGCTGTGTAAAGTGACTCCAGAAATATGCTGCAACTTATGAATTAGAGGGAGCACACACCAAGGGGCCAGGCATCCAGGAGTGACAAGCCACTGTCCAGGCAGAAGGTCAGCTTTCCCTTACATGGATAGGTGTGAATCAGACTCCAGCAATCCAGGCAGCTGTAACAGGAAGGCAAGTCTTCCTCCAATTCTGAAATAGTTAGTAGTCACCATTAGGAGTGTCGAGGTCAGTTAGTGTGTTCCTGTCTTCTAGATTTATCTACAGGGATCAGAAACATAGCCCTGACTGAATGGACCTCTGTCAACATTGTAAAGTCCTCTCTCATTCCTTGTCTAAATAAGCCTAATTCTTAGAGATCTCATAGTTATCATAAAGCTTATCTTTTCTAACAGGCAAGAAGAATATCACAATGCTAATTGCCTCTTTTTTAAAAAAAAGTTCTGATTTTGAAACCTGATAAACCTCTCAAGTAATGATTAGGTCGTGTTTACCTAATTCTTATGCATCGGTGAGTGTCTAAAAGAAATCATTATTAAACCTAGCTTGCTGACTGCTTTCACTAAGTGTTAAATAATAAATAATGCATTTCTACTTCAATTAATCTACTTAGACATCTCACAGGCCAAATGCCTTGGTGGAGATGTTCTAATCTGCAGAATCAATCCCCGGTATGACTCTGCCTCTTGACATTTGGAGCTCCCTAACACAGAGCTCTTAATTCCATATACAAGGTAAATGGATAATTTAGATGACCGTGTTCTGCCATTGTGCTCAGACTGATAAATAAGACAAGGCACTGTAATGACAACTTGCAGATCTACTCAAGGCAAAATTTGGAATGAATCTTCACTCCCACCCATATGAGAAATTTTTTCTCAATTTCATATGCTTGTATGTTTTTCACCTTAATATGAAGGTCTGCATGTGTGTCTAAGACTTTTGCAGAACTGCTATGTATACTGTTTCCTTACTATGGGGTTTATTAAATGATCCAAATTCTAGTCTTATTAGAACTGCTTAAAAATTATTAGCAGAAAGTCTGAGTATTCAAGATAACAAAAAAGTGTTTATGTAATATTATTATTTTGATATTTCCTTCTGATTCTCGTCTATGTAAATAAATATTTTATACAGTTGAAACCATAGTATACATGCCATTTTCTAACCCTTTTAAATAATCATTATGTTGCAAGTATTTCCATGTGGCAAGAGCTTTAATAGTTATAAATGTTAAGAATACTAAGAATAATACCATGACTCATCTGAAATGTACAGTGATTTTACACTCTTATTAATTTTGGAAGTTTCATTTGCTTCTCTATTTTTGTCATTAATTTCATAAATAGCACTGATGTGAACATCTCCATGCCTAGAGGTTTCCTTTTCTCCTTTCCTTTGAGGTCAAGGGTCTAAAGACGTATAGTATAATTGCCACATGTAAATATATAGATTCACTAGATGCTTCCCAGGATTAGACATGATCACTGTGCAAAATATGTGGTAACACAATAAACAGAAAGTTACTGTTTTTTTAAATGCATACTTTCAATTAATAGTGAGATTGAGATTTTTCCATTTCTGTGTTCACTAATTCTATGTTACCTTCTGCTTCTGCATATCATTAGGCTATCTATCTGTTGGCATCACTGCTTTATCATTTTAGGATATTTCATCAATATTTTGCAGGATTTGTAATCACATATAAGAGGAATGGAGGATTAAAGGCAATCAATCGGAAGTATGGGTAATTGGTGTACATTTCATATTCTGCTAATCTCAAGGAGTTAAAAACATACATCCTTTTAAAAACAGGAACTAGAAAGTCCCCTGGAGGCACTGTCTTTCTTCATTTGTTCCATACTTTGCATAGCATACTTCCTGGAGGGCCTTTCGTAAATTGTTGTGCAGTTGACTCAGATACCTTTTTCCACGTTATCTCTGCTCACTCAGAGTACCTACCCTCGTCAAATATCACACCCGTTGTCATACTTGAGAACTTCACCCATCACTTCTTGGTGGAGATTTTAGGCCCTTGTTTGTGCTGTGTCTTGTTCTGCCTACACCTCTGTTGTGGCTCCCTTCACCTTGTAATGATTTATTTATGCTTCAGTCTGTGCAACGGGCTGTGAGCCACGGGGGGTGGGGGTGCTGTGCATTTTCATCTCCATGTCCTCAGTATAAGAATGGTGCCAGGAAAAGACTGAGTCCTCCATAAATGCATGGAGGTACTCAACCCAGGCTTGCAGGTACTCAGTAAATGCTTGTGGGTGATAAATGAATGGAATTAAATTGAGGGATTAATTTTTATATCAGTATGCTATATTGATATGTAATTCATATATTAAAAGCACAATTTTTATGGTAATAGTTAATATGATTATATAAATTATATAATTAAGTATAATATATAATTATATAATGCAATTTATAATTCATATCAATATATAAAATATCAAAATGATATATTGACATGTATTCAATATATTAAAAGCTCATTTTTATATTAATATTTGCTCTAATTAATTATATAAATTATATAATTATATATACTTATATAAATATAATATGTACTATATAACATAAATTATAATAATTATTACATAATTATTAATTATATAAATTATATAAGTCCTATCACAGTGTCTTCTTCCTAGGGTCTAAATCAACCTCTGGTAATGAAGGGCCTGGAGCCAGATATGAGCTTCTTGGAGCTTTTGGCAGTTTCTGGTGGAGGTCAGCTATCCTTGTCATCTACCTTGGCCCCTCTGTAGGGGATGAGCTCAGGGCTACACTTTTCCTTCCAGGTTCTCATGGTGTGGTCCGGGCTCCATTTCTTTCTCTTTGAACCTCACTTCAACATGATTAGAGTGACCGAAGGTAAAGAAATAGGAACTGTTTTACTGTAAATAAGTTAGTCCCTGCTATACTTTTTCTCTGTGTTGTTTCATCACATGTACTCTCCTCAAAGGTCTTGTTCAGCCCTTCACACCCCTGTGAGTTGCATTAAGCAATGTCACTGTGCTGCAAAATGCTTAGAAATATGTGTGTGCATTACACAGAACTGTCCAGCCTTCAGAAGGAAAGGACTGAACATCTTTGTGCATCTCCCCGTGGGAAGACAAAGATAGAAACTCAAATGGGCTCATTCTTTGCCTCCATAAATATGTTTATCAGACCCAATTAGACAGGAGAGAGAATAGAGTCCAGCGTGTTGGTGGAAAAGCTGAGAATAATCCATGAGGTTTTTGAAGCCTGAGGTTTTCCATTTTGTTGTTTAGAGAAAACTAGATTGGATGCTTTGAAAGAAATTAAGATATTCTTGTTTACACTTTTCTTTGATATCATGATTATTGGTAGAAAAATTGTTCTTGGACAAAGTATTTTTTAACAGGCAATCCAAAAATTTCCCAGTGGGGCCTTTACTTAAGTGAAGGAGATTTGAAGAGCAAAAACATAGTTATAACTGATTTTCAAAATTATATAACTACAGCATTTAGAACCATTCAGCCTTCTGAAATGCTTACCGTCGTGATCTAAGGGCATGACTCTGACTCTGAGAGGGAGGTAAATAACAAAGCCAGTGTTGTCCTGGCCAGGAAGCCGTAGAGGTAAGCCACTTTGTCTTTACATCTAAGCACCCTGCCCTGCACCCAGTTTAGTCAGTAGTGATGTCAAGTCTTGCCCCAGTTTATCTCCCAGGGATATTAGAATAAACACATTTAGAAACTAAAGATGCCATGTAAACACAGTAAATTTATCCCTTTTTTGTTTAACATCTTAAGGGCTAGAATTTCCAGCTGTCTCTTCACACAAACTTCTTGCTGAGAGAGGGGGCGAGGTTACTTGAATTTGAAGATGTTGATTTTTGCCCCAAATATAGCTTTTTTGAACTACAGATTCTTACTAATACAGGGTAAGTACACCTCATTGAGTGGGTGACTTTTACAGCAGGAGGGCTCCAGTTTCACCTGAGAAGCGACACATGGATTGTGTGTCCTGACACAGCAGTGAGAAGTCCTCTGTTCTGTGCATTCTGTGACTCCACACTCAGGCACCATCACTGACAGGTAAAAGTGCTGCTGCTTATGGTGGCAATGGATAGTCACACTGTAGAATTTTTTTTAATGCAAGTTAAGTTTGCAAAGTAAACACCTCTTTTCAAAAATTAGAACTTAGATCGAAACTCATTTATGAAAGAATCACATGGCTGTGTCAACAGCTTAGAAGAAGTTCACTTTTTTTTTTTTTTTTTAAACTTCCTGTTACCCAGATAGGCAAAAGTAAATTCTGGATCATCCACTGAAGTTTCCAAATGGTCCCCCTGAACCAGGGTTTCTAAATAGCAGCACTATCAGCGTTTTGCTTCTGATCATTCTTTATTGTTAGGGCTGTTCTGTGCACTGTAGCAGAAACCCTGGCCCCTCAGAAGCCAAAATCAGCCATGGTTAAAATATCACTGTTCTAAACTAAACCAAAGTGAACAAATATTGAACAAGATACCTGGGACCCTGGCCTTGGTTTCCACTTTGTCACCCCTTGGTCCTTTGTTGTCCCTTTCCACACCTGTAAAATGGGTGTAGTGCCACCTGCTTCATTCATTCACCCCGTAGCATATGTCAGGATCATTGAAACAGGGCCTGGCGTGCTGGAGATGATTGATAGATATTTGTTAAATAAATGATGAATGAACGTGTGAGGGAATGGATTGAAGAATTCGAGCGCACAATTTGGAGATCTCTAAGGAAGACAGTATCCTCCCTTCATGGGTTCCCCTTGCAGCCCAGGGGCCTCCAGGTGTGTTTCTGTGTCTGTTCTCACAGTATGGATGGAAGGTGGGAAACGTGCCCACGCTCTTGTGTGTCTGTTATTCTTAAGCACTTGATCCGTATTGCGCAACTGAAAGCTTTATCCCCTAACAGGATAATCCCAGTAGTGTACGTATGTGTTTTTGTTGTTGGCTAATATTTTTGTTTTTGCTTTTTATTTTGTCAGAATGTCAGATGTCAAACTAGACTCATACCATGGCAAAGCGCATGCAAAATGAGAATACTGCATTGTATCATTCTGTTTGACCATAGCGCTCTTTAAAAGTTTACATCCCTTTCTTCTGATTCTAAGTGGGATTCTTCATGTTCCTTTACTTTAGTTTCCTCCCACATATCCCCACCCTCCACCCACAACAAAAGCTTAACATACACATAAACATACATGCACATACAAAACAAAAACTCATCCTTAGCTCATTTAGTTTGTTGTAAGTGACTGGGTTAAGCCACAAAATAAACTACTGTTAAAAAAGAAATAAATAAATAGGAATAGCTTTGCATACATGTTCTTTGTGGAAAGAATAACATATTTCTACAAAGGAATAATAACATTCACTCACATCGATTTAACAACCAGCCCTCGGAAATTGTTGACATTGCTTTCTGGACAGTGACAGAAAATACCTTCGAGTTATAGCAACTCCTTCTTTACTTCTCCACACTGTTCCATAAAATCTTTATAAACACATTTATTTATAATATCTCTCTATGTAAAAGCTGTCATGGGCTCACTTCATTTGTGTATTAAGTATATGTCATCACAAGAAATAATGTAACTTACGGAGGTGAGAAAATTTAAGTTCATCCTAAGTTTTGCAGATTTTTCAGACAACCAGTTGTTCAGGTTCACTTCATTCTGCTGTTTTCTGAAATCTGGCATATAACTGGATAAGACAATAAATGTTATCAATAATTGCTGTCTTGTGATTATTTTGATAATATAATAACTTATGGCATATTTCAATTACATTATTTTGACATCGCTAAGAACACAATAATATTCCTGAAGTCTAAAGGAAATATTGTTGGCCACCACAGCAGTAATATCAGAGACACTAACAAGTTATTTTGATGACATAAAATCTAACTTCTACTTTCAAAATATCATTTAACATGTTGAACACTGACTAAATTAGTAAGTGCATGAAACAAAAGTTATTCTAGATCCAGGAGCATCTGACATTAGGGCAGACCCCTTCTACTTCCTTGGATAGACCTTGGCCAATTTCATCCACTTTTCATCCTGTACCTAACTTGACTTTTTCAAAGTAGCAATGTGACCAGGTCACCACTCCTTCACTTCTCAAAAAGATGCCTCCCCGGCTTTTTATCCCATGGAGGGAGGTGGATGGGCAAGACAGTGACTAGAGATAGCAAGAGATTGAACTCCCAGCCCTGAGCCCTGGAATATTCAGCTTTGATACATTCATGAGGGTGGAGTTCTCATGACCTAAACACCTCCCACCAGGCCCCATCTCCCAACACAGTTGCGTCGGGGATTACGTTTCCAATACATTCTTTGTGAGGTTCACAGTCAAACCACAGCACCATCTTTAATGACTTTATGTTTTTTCCTAAAATAAGACAAAATTCTCAAATGTGACCTAAAAGGTCTCTTTTACCCCTTCCCATTTCTTCCGTTTTCTCGAGCCAGAATTTCTAACTCTCTGGAATCCTTTTTGTCCCCTGTGCTTTTTAACTTGTCTTACTTCTCCTCTTAGTTTGATCTCATCTCAAGCGTTTCTGTCTTAGGGAAGCTTCTCTGAACTCAACACTAGGTCAGCCTCACGGTCCCACAGTCCACCCACTGCCCCTCAACAGGATGCGCTGAAGCTGGAGCTGTGCACTGATGTGTGTGATGCCCAGAATCCTCACCAGACCGAGATCCAAGAGAATACGTGCCATATTTGTCTTTCCTCGCCATTGTATCTACAGCATCTTGCATAGTGCCCAACACTGAATACGTGCTTGGCAAGTATTTGCGGAATTAGTGAGTACATAGTGAGCACACCTATACCTTCTCTCCTTTCTTGTTCCTGATGATGCGACTCTGTAGAATAGTCATGACTTTTGCTTCGTCACTGGGAACTGAAACGTCCACCAGTGGGTGTGTTCATACTGGCCTTGGCTCTGCCTCTTTAGGATGGTAATGATCAAGCATCTCCTTCTTTCATATCATGGGCCTCTGTACACCTGAAGCAGTTATTATGTCTTTGAGTTCCCTTTTCCTTATTTATTCATTTTCTTCAACCATGCCTCATACTTGTCTTCATTTCCATTCCTGCCAGAGGGTTACTTGCTGTCCTATCAGCCTGCCCAATATCGTCTCTGCCTTTGTTAAAGGAGAATGGTGAAAATCTGACCTAGGAAGCTCTTTGGGTGAGTTTCCTTATCTATCACTAAATATTTATATCCAAATGGTATCAGAGGCTGGCAGAGTTGGCATCTTTGTGACAAGTGGCAATAAATTAATTTTTTTCTAATATCATACCAAAATTTGTGACAGTTGTAACCTGTCAAAATAGAAGAGAATACCCAGTAGTTTATGAATTGTCCTTCCATTTGTATTTCTACTACTCAAGCTCGATTAAAAAAATAGTTAGCTTTTTGTTTTTCCTTAAAAATGAGTAGAGACCCCTACTAACCTTAAAGCATAATGTATACATTTTAGTAATTCTATTTGGACTGTATAAACCCTGAACATCTCAGCTCCATAGGTACCTTGGGGGAAGTAAGGTATAGGAAAGAATCGGACTAGAAGCACAAGCTGGATTTTGCCACCCTCTCTCCTTTCCAGAGGCCTCTTCTGTTTGTCATCTGGGTGTGGGTGCACAGTGTGAGATGTCACTGGCTGAGCACGGATTGCTAAGGCCATTTAAACATAATAATGAACACGATGTTGATTTAGGTTCTTCCTCCAAGGGGATACTTCAAGCCCAGGGGGTCAAGGGCTCTGAAGATCATTTAATACAGATCTTTTTCAGTTCACTGATGAAAAGTGCTACATAAGTACAGAGAATCATAATTGTTTTTATTATTGTTATTGAAACTGCGGTTGATCATCTTGATAGGCCTACTGTGGGGTGGATATTGACAAA